TAGTTTTATAAACTAGAAAAAAGTCGCTGGGGGCCAGATCTGGAGAGTACGGTGGATGCGGAAGCAATTCGAAGCCCAATTCATGGAATTTTGCCATCGATTTCAATGCTTTGTGACACGGTGCGTTGCCTTGATGAAACAGCACTTTCTTTTTCAAACAACAAAAGTTCTTTCACTAAAAATGCTATAACTCAGATACTAATAGTGCAACAGCTGTCACATTTATACACGGGTCTTTTGAAGGCTAGGGCTAAATAAAAATCACATGGATTTGATACTAGTGGAGCCATATATGAGTCAGCCTACGAACTTTTCAGCCAGCCCTTATATTTGGAGCTCGGCGCTGTACTGATGCGAAACGTGGGGTGGGAGAAAAGAAACGCTTGGAAGCTTCTGTTATCAATAAGAGACATTTATTCATTACACATTTACAGAAAATTTACAGCCTACTTAATCTTCTAGCTTGCTGCATGTGTTTTATATGGTTCCGTCAGTTAGAAGATATTCCTATAAATGTGCCACTATCTTCTAGAAACAGCAATGTCATGAATAAAATTATACTACATTCGGTACATATTGAATTGTACGTCTTTGTAATAGTATGTTTGTATTTCAGCCGTTTCCGTTACATTTTCTTGAGAGAGAAAATTGGCAGTCGAACATTTTCCGTCTGAACGACCCTTCACAGTAAAGTGGTTTTTATGTGAACCGTTTGAACCGTTCTCATTCTGTAAATATTAAACGTAGTTACGTTTTGCATTGGTAGAGTTTGAGTTTCTATTGCTCTTCCTCTAGGTGTGTAAGAATGTGTTTTGAGAGTTCTTTGAATCGCAAACATGCTAAAGCCATAACTTTTTCACTTTTTAGCTTTTTGCCAACACTTCATCAAAGTTTTTCCGAAGTTTGCCGCTAACCGATATCTTAAAACGGGTTGATCGAGGTCAGAACCAATCAAGAAGTTTGCTATTAAACTTTTAGGCTTGCAAAGTTATTGATGACGGTCAATTCTATGTGTCGATCAGTTGAGTACCTTTAACATTATTTTCTTCAATTTTGAAACGTTCGTTTTCTAGCACCTGACAGTAACTAATTATAAACCGCTTATTAGTTTTGTTTGCCCCGTAAATTTCTAATTCTTTGGTCCTTCGAGTCTAATAAAATAAATGAAATCGTTTATAGAAAGGTCCAAAACGACGATATTAACGTAATTTTTCACGTAGTTGTTCCAAGACCACACACGGTGTTGTTATAGCACATGACAAAAGAAAAAAGGAATCTGTAGATATTGAAAAAAGGATACAAACAGTTTATGTAACTCACTATTATAATATTTTTTATTTTATAATCAACTAGAGCTTATACATTGTTTAAAGAAACTATTTTTGAGATACTATGTCCTGAGATAAAGATGTTCAGTCTCTCAGAGTCTCTAAAAGCGAGACTCGAGTTTCCGTCTCTTATCAAGTCTCTCTGGTGTCGCTGAGAGAGACTGTCAAAAAAACTGTTTAGCGTCTCTGAACGAGAGACTCGAGTCGCTCATAGAGAGATCCTCATTTCGTATCCAGTCTCTGAACGAGAGACTCGAATCTCTCAATAAGTGGTGTCTCGATAGACATGGTTAAAATTTTCTAAGTTCAACATATTTCAGAGATCCCAGTCTTTCTACGAGAGACTCGAGTCTCTCAATTTTTCAGTTTTATTCATTCAGTCTCTCTCTGTGAGAGACTCGAATCTCTGAATTAACAATTTTATCGTTCGAGTCTGTCATACAGAGACTGTGAGAGATCCATAAAAACACCTAGGCAATAACTGAGAAACTGTGAAAGACTGTGAGAGACGCTCTCAGAGACGCTGAAAGACTGAGAGACTGAAAATTTTTGTCTAAGAATATACATTAATCAGGTGATCGCACTAGAACCGCGTAAACGCAGATAACTCTGATTCTCAGTTTACTAACGTGTTTTATTTATTTTATTCACAGAAAACATTACTTTTATACATTTCCTAGTACAATATCGGAATTTTGTACAATTCCTAGGAAATGTATACATTTCCCAGGATATGAATATATTTAAAAATCTTTGAAAGAATATTTTATAGATTTCCTAAATAGCCTCGGAACTGTATACAATTCCTAGATTTCATACATTTCCGGTAACATATACATAATTTTCGTTGCTATCAAAAAGTAATACGCTGCCAGCAACCACTGGGGAATAGTCAATAACGAAGCNACTATGTCCTGAGATAAAGATGTTCAGTCTCTCAGAGTCTCTAAAAGCGAGACTCGAGTTTCCGTCTCTTATCAAGTCTCTCTGGTGTCGCTGAGAGAGACTGTCAAAAAAACTGTTTAGCGTCTCTGAACGAGAGACTCGAGTCGCTCATAGAGATGAGATCCTCATTTAGTATCCAGTCTCCGAACAAAAGACTAGAATCTCTCAATAAGTGATGTCTCTATAGACATGGTTAAAATTTTCTAAGTTCAACATGTTTCAGAGATTCCAGTCTTTCTACGAGAGACTCTAATATCTCAATTTTTCAGTTTTATTAATTCAGTCTCTCTGTGAAAGACTCGAATCTCTGAATTACCAATCTTATCGTTCCAGTCTCTCATACAGAGACTGTGAGAGATCCATAAAAACACCTAGGCAATAACTGAGAGACTGTGACAGACTGTGAGAGACGCTCTCAGAGACGCTGAAAGACTGAGAGACTGAAAATTTTTGTCTAGGGGTGTCCCCATTTATACGTAGAAACCGTGAAATAAGTATAATAAAAATACGTAACAATATTTTTTATGCTCAATTTTATATAATTGTCACAATCGATGCTTTGCTATAGATATTTTTGAATTGAATCTGTAGCTTTATATATGCAAATTATTANTACTATGTCCTGAGATAAAGATGTTCAGTCTCTCAGAGTCTCTAAAAGCGAGACTCGAGTTTCCGTCTCTTATCGAGTCTCTCTGGTGTCGCTGAGAGAGACTGTCAAAAAAACTGTTTAGCGTCTCTGAACGAGAGACTCGAGTCGCTCATACAGAGATCCTCATTTAGCGTCTCTGAACGAGAGACTCGAGTCGCTCATAGAGATGAGATCTTCATTTAGTATCCAGTCTCCGAACGAAAGACTAGAATCTCTCAATAAGTTTTATTAATTCAGTCTCTCTGTGAAAGACTCGAATCTCTGAATTAACAAATTTATCGTTCGAGTCTCTCATATAGAGACTGTGAGAGATCCATAAAAACAGCTAGGCAATAACTGAGAGACTTAAAATATCCTAAATTTTATAGTTTGTTTTGTCTGTCTCATTATTTGTTGCCTCTTCTTAGTGGTAAAATACAAAAATTCTTCTAAAAAACGTCTCTCTATATATGTAGTTTAACACTCCAAATCTTTTTCATAAGAATATACATTTTTTAAAGAGCAAGGCAGAAACTTCCGCAGTGTATACCTACACTGAATTTTAACGAGTTACAAGGGTTGTCAATCAAAATTCCCTACGGTCGCGATACCTTCCGACCGGGGCAGACTGACGGCGTTATTAGGGATTTGATGGGATGAACTCCTGGGAAATTCGTCAAGTGGTATTTTCTTGAAAGCTTATTATGATAAATTAAGGTTTTCTTTTACAAAATTCGGCGAAATGTAAACGATCGAACCAGACACACCTCAAAATTATTAAGTGGAAGATAGAAAGAAAGTGACTCTCAAAATCTTTTTATACCTACAGGGTGTTCCGTTAGTAGCAGATAATCTTTCGACTACATTTAAAGATTAATGATTTCCAGGAGCAACTCAAAATTAATACACAATTCTTATTCGCATAGTGAAAATTATCTCCTGAAGGGATCAATAATAAATTGTAGACAAAAATGACACCTCTATGGTTATAAGTACATAAATGTAGACAGTGACGTCATTGCCTTAAGCTTGTTCGAGAAATATACTGATATCAACACTTGTTATATTCCACATACTAATTATTAGTTTAAACGTTTCATATCTCTTTAGGTAATCATGAAATATCCCATATCATTATTATATCCCATATCATTATTTAACAACAAATGTCAATATTTAAATTTAACTAGAAAATGTAATACTTCTTTTTGTATTTTTTGCCGTTGTAAAACGAAGTCAAACTTTGTGCACTTGGTGCTATAAAACTAGCATCGTACTTCAAAACTTTTCTGGGAAGTGTCCTAAATGGCGCTTTTTCTAGCGTCCCTATAAAAGGGAGCAGGTACCAAATTTCGAGAAGTTCCAATTCTGTTGTTGCAACATACCAAATTTTCTACGTCTTTTCCATTTTTATTTTAAGTTAAGTGTTAAGTATAAATTAAGTTAAGTGTTAGTAATAAGGAATAAAGTTGTTCTCAAAAAGTGTGTACTGGTTTACTTGCTTGGAAGTGCGCTTGTACAGCCCAATTTAAGAACGCGACATAGTCGCGGGATACAACTTATTTTTGAAAATGATTTTGGACTAACTTATCATCGATTCACAGCTCATGATATGAATTCTGTTTCTGGTGTTTGAAGATACTACTTAACATTTATGTTTTATTGAATTATATGTTTTATTAAAGAATGCTGACATATAGTTTGAAATCTTATCGCTTTCGGGATTACAACCTCTTCCGATTACAAAATACGTCACAGAATTCCCTCCTGAGCTCATACACGTGTTATTTTTTCTTTTACACATTAAAAATTCAATTTGTGGGTACATATTTTAGCAGGGTTGCCGTGTGATTATGTAAAAATTTTAAAACGTGTCGTAAAAATAGAACTTACAGATACTCTCATGTATATTGCATGGGTATAGGAATATCGAAAACTCTCTTTTGTGCGGATGATATGGGAACGTAATTTTATTAAGAGTACATATCACTTTACCTGTAGGTAATAAAGGCGAATACGAGACCAACAAGTGACAAACTGCTCCCTATAACAACTAGGAGGGACAGGATGCTTTCTTCATTAAATAGTGATTCCACGGACGAGGCGTTCAGGCTCACGAACGGATGAAGTCTCGTTGTATAAAATGTCTCCATTTTTTTCTATTTTCTGGACGTGAGTTGCTGGAAAAGAGAAAATAAGGAATAAAATTGTGCTAGCAATAAGTACTACAAGGAATTTGCACGTTCGGAAGGTCAAACGTATTGAAAATATGTCCCTTTTCGATTGTTTGTACGTTTTTTTTTTTTGCACAGACGCCGAACTCTGAGAAATCTTTCACTATTTCTCACCCGATCAACATCATCGAAAACATATAAAACCTTACATGATTAATAGTAGGATCACATTATGCGGAGTTTCCGTTATACGCTGTTCACACTATCGAGCAACCGAGCGGCATGGCCTAGAGGTCTAGACCATTGCTTAGCATTCGGGAGGACACCGGTTCGATTCCGGGTCCGTCTGCTTTGGTCCAAGTTTTTCTGTGGTTTCCTTGAATCATTTATGGTATGTTCCACAAATAATCTTTCAAGTCTCTTCTGCCATTATTTCGTCCATCTAATGTGTGTCTCCCCTACCACCATCCACTCATTCCCTCGATTCCTAAAAGGAGGTCCTATCCTCCCCCGTTTTACTACAGTACAGATCGAAGGGACTCCTATAACCATTAGAAATTGATGGAAATGATATACACAAAGGTTTTAAGTATCTTGTGGGTGATTTTTCTTAGACCACTATGCCTTCTAGCGTTACAGGAGACAGTTATTATTTGTTTTAATTAACTCTAAAAGCACTAGCAAAACCTTTAATCTCTTTAGGTTTATGTTGATTTAAATGTGTGCGACATGTTTTTTCTAACTGCTATTGCTATCCTCAGTTTGTTCATAATTAAAATTTATGTCCATCAGAGGCCATAAAGACTGATTTTGCCTTGAGCGAGAGGACATCATTTTGAGGTGGATGAAAGGGACAGCATTTTAATTTCGTTGAAGATTAGTTCTTCTCCGTTTACGTAAACAAAACAGCTACGGTTTTGATTTTAAAACCGAGCGTTCAAATTCGTTATCTAATCCTTTCTCTGTTCTCGTGTAAATTCAATTACGAAAAGTCTGTCGACGCTCTGAATACATATATGNTGCCCGCCCACCAGCATTACTGGCTGGTGGGAATGAAACACACAAAAGTTTTTTTTTTTTTTACTATCGAGCGTCAACCGTAACATCCTCCCGCATTTATTGCACACCCCCCTAATCAACAGTATTGGGGCAGTCACCTTTACAACCATGAGTAATAAAACAATCTATACCTGATAGTAATCGCTTTACATAATATCAGGACGGAGTAAATTATAAATTAGATTGTTGTTAGTTAGCAAAATCGATAAGAGCAATGGGAATCATAAATCATTCATTGAATGACACATGTATGACCGCGTAACAAAATAATTCCGAGAATTTTCCAAAAAATTATAGATATAAACTATATTCAGCAATTCGAGTTAGTCGACATATATGATAGTGAGAATGATAGGGCAAATAAAGGGTGGAATAGATACAATTTTGGATAAATAAGTATATTTATAAATACAGGGTTAGATAAATAAGCAATAGTGTATGTATCTATAGTAATAGTCGTTTTAATAAGGAATTTGACGCTTACTGGAGAATTTATTACAATATAGTATTTTATTAAGTTTAAGTTTTAATGTTTATTTTAATGATCAGCTCCATAGCTGTCTAGATTATTATTACAACATACAAAAATTTACACACTATAAATGCCCTATTTTTCTTAATATTACAAGGTGTATGTAAGTACTTTCTTATGTTTACTAACTTGATAGTAGGAATAAGAAAGTACTTACAAGGTGTATGTAAGTACTTTCTTATGTTTACTAACTTGATAGTAGGAAATTGAATGGTATGATAAATGGAACGTTAACAGCTTTTAAGGTGACTAAGAGTTATTAGGTTAACATACCTGAAAGATAAGTACATGATCTTAAGGGTGTTAAGTTACCAAAGCAGTTAGTAATATTTGCATTTGCATGTAATTCAATATAGCTCGGCGGTACAACACACGTCGCGGCGTCTAATGTATGTATATATTAAAGTTCGCCCTTAAATTAGGGGAATTACCCGAAGACGGGTCGAATTACTGCTTGGAACAAAAACGGAAATAATGAAAATAGTTTACTTAGTTATTTATCTCAACTACATAAATTTCAACAGTGTACTGTATTTGTATTTTAATACAATTTAATTTAAAATTAATTTGAAAATAAACTGGTCAACTGAAGGTGAGTAAAAAGAAGATCCACAAACATTTGGACAGTTTTGGCTCGATTATTTATAGTCTTTTGATATATACTTATAAGAACACTCTAATATTATCATATTAATATGATAACTCACCTTAACTAGACCACAGTGAAAAGCTACTATATTTTCGAAATAGAATAGACAGTATATTACGTACCAGAAAATACTACAAATGGCGTGGTAAACGCCATCTGTGGTACGATGCTACATTTTAGGATTACGTATGCTCCAACAAGGTCCATTTAAATATATGGATATCTACTTGCTGAAAGGAATCCTGGCGTAGGACCTTGTTGGAGCATACGTAATCCTAAAATGGAGCATCGTACTACAGTTGGCGTTTACCGCGCCATTTGTAGTATTTTCTAAAACGCGCTGTTAATACAGCAGGTAAAAGTTGGTCTGTGTTCTGTCGCAGCTGTCTGCGACGCGCTGATGAGATCTAAAAAATCCAAATCGCGATCCGCGTCTGGCAGTTTCGACAGAATAAAGACCACTTCGAATTATTTTATTATATTTCGTACCAATTCAAAACCTTAAATAGTTTCGCCCACTTTTTAAAATAAAACCCTCTTGTTGGTTTTCCTTTTTTGTCCTTCAAGTTGCTGTCTGGTATAATATAATAGACAAGCAAATACCGCTTTGTTTGATGAAG